AGAAGTAGCTAGATTAGTTCCCTTCGAAACAGGGGTTGACACACACACACACACAGAACATACATGCTCCTCAAGTCATCGACTTGCAGGGGTTGTTGACACGCATCGACGTACTGTGGATTGGGAGTGCTTCGTTTTGGTCCGCATCCACATCCTCTTCTGCGAATTGGTGAAGAGTAAGTTCTCATACAAACCATGCTGCGTCTTTTTCTTGGCAATCAGAAACCTTCCAACCCCAGCAACATTCTAACCCCTTGGGCCCTTAGTGTGGATTCAACCCGACCAAAAGGGGTCAGGATTCATCCATGGTAGTATGAAACCCGTTCTGAAGAATCAGAATGGCCTAGAAACCCAGCAACTCCACCTGCAGGAGCTTCCTCCACCAGTTCTTGGAAAGAGATGGAAAAAGAATATAGAGAGCTTCAAAGACCTTTAAACACAAAAATCAAGAAAGGCCTCCAAGGGCCAACTGGAGTCACATTCACAGAGAACCACCCATCTTTGAGCCCCCAAATCAGAGGCGCCACCGTCGCGAGGTCGCGAGGGTGGAATCAAAATCGATGAGCCCATCATGTAAAATCTTGATGAATATACACCTCCATACTGTATGAAGAGGTAGCACATGTTATATATGAGATATCAAGAAGGCCCATCATGTGGAGGGTAGCTCATCGTTCATCAAGATTCTACATGACGGGCACCTGGAGATACGGCACACACGGTTGGAGAAACGGCGACCCAGAGAAACGACATCGGGAGTTTGGTTCTCTCGATGTCGCAGCCAAAACGTGTGGCTTATCATGTCAAGAGTTGCTCACTCCTGGCCTACACCGTCCATATTTGGAACAGATGCCTACATTGACCCCCCTGGCACCACCCCAACTGATCGGTCAATATGTCATACATGCATGGGCTGAGTGGTATCAAGAGACTTCCGTGGACGGTGTTTCAGAGATGACGCTGTTTGTCCTAGTCGCTATTTTTTGGTGCAGGCGTGGCAAAAAGAGTGTTCGAGGGTGTGCGAGGTACACCAATGTCCATGACGGATTAAGACCATCGATGCGCTATAGACGACAAATGATGACAGCCCTGATTTGTGACACAAAACCCTCTTTCGAGAAGGGGATTCTCATCCCGGTTCGGCCCAATCCACCAACCAACCCCCAAACCACCCCCCCAACCGGCCCCTTCTCAGGACCACCTGTCACCTTCCCCGAAGCACACGAATCGCAGGGTCGGCAGGTCGCCTGCAGTCGGCTCCCCTCGTCCTTCGCCTCCGCATCGAGGGCCTCGTCGTAAGCGGAGTTGGGAGACATCGACCCCGGACCTGTGTGTGTGTTTGGTTGGTTGGTTGGTTGGTTGGTTGGTTGGTTGGTTGGTTGGTTG